GGAGGAGGAGGAAGGGTAAATGGCCTCTAATTATCTGATTTTGATTTTATTGATTAGTACTGGGATTGAACCCAAGGGCACTTAACCACTAAGCCACATCCCCAGCCTTTTTTATTTTTAGGTTCTCCCTAAATTACCTAGGGCCTTGCTAAGTTGCTGAGGTTGGCTTTGAACTTGCAATCCTCCTGCCTCAGGCTCCTGCAACAGCTGGGATTACAAGCATGAGCCACCATGTCAGCTGGCATTTATTTGATTTTTACAAAGTAGCACACGCCACATTAGTAGTAATCTACCTCCAAGTATGGCTGTTCCTGACCTAGCAAATTGTATAAGCAGGTCCTTCCCGCTGAATTATTATAAAGGGGAATGCAGGCTAAGATAATCAAGGTAGTCAGGCCCCTTCCTCCTTCCTTCCTCTTAGGTTAGGTGTTATTATGGGTGTTATTACAAGGCAAGGATGTATTCAGGGGAGGCCATGGTTCTACAACAAGCTCTTGTTAGCAACTGGAAGATTGTAAGCTGTATACATATAAGAGGTAGGCATTATTATAAAACGGAAACAAACAAAAACCAAGCACAAACTAAAAACGTTTTCCTGCCTTTCCTTCTGTGCTGAGTCACTGCTCAGTTGCAAGCGTTCCAGCTCAAGGCAGTTCCTAGATTCCCTGTCCACTGGAGATGGACCTCCGATCCCTAGAGCACAGATCCCATCGTATTGAAGTAGTGACTGCAGCACTGCCACTGTCCTGCTCGGTCCACCAGTTCATTGTCGAATTTGAGGCAGCATCAGTTAGGCCCACCAAGAGAAAGCGCATAGACCTAGAGAACACTAACCCCGCCTACACATGAAAATAGAATCCGGAAACCCGATGGGGGGTGTCTTCACTTCTCACTGAACTGAACAGCATCCTAGCCTCAGGTGGCCAGTGACAAGAGGCTGCCGAGCAGTCATAAGGCCAAGCTGGCGAGGTCAGCTCCGATTACTGCTGGGCAGTTGAGTTCACTGATTTTTCGGGCTCCTGGCCAGGATTGCATAACAGTCCCAGAGGCCCATGAGGGCACAGATGACTAGAAGGGAACCTGCGCCTCCCGACCCTGCGCTATGCCCAGGGTCCACCCCCGGGCCGCGCGGGCGTCGCAGCTCTCTGCGGACCCACTGTAGGGGAAGAATTTGCTGAGGCCCCAGAGGGTGCAAAGATTCTTTGCCCAACTAAATCACCACTAAACGCCATTACCTTGAAGGAAAGCGCTTCGTGAGACTTCGACCTGGGCAGCAAAAAGGCCACGAGATGGCAGCAGAGGACGCAGCCTGGGACAAAAAACCCGAGCCATCTTGAAAAAAAACAAAAACAAAAACAGGTCGAGAAACCTAAGACAATTTGGGAAAATATTGTCATTTGTCTATAATCATACATTCGGCATAAATGACTGGATTTCAAAGAAATGAGGGTAAAATTAATCAACCTGAAGACTCTTCCAATCACAGAATTCAACTGCGTATGAAGCTGCATATCATGAATGGGTTATTTTTCCATTGCTTGAAAGCAGGAGATAGGGGTCATGGCCTTTAAAAATTGACGTCAGCAGGAGCCTTGTCACAGTCCCTTCTTTCTGTAAAGTTCTAATTCAAGTAAAATGAGAGATCTCCACAGAGGCTGCCAAATTGATGAAGAATGGGGCAGATACAGTGGTTGCTGGGGAGGAATGCAGCAAAGCAGAATGCTGTCATGGAACAGTCAAGAACTCTGGCAATAATGTGTGGGGTGGGTGAGGGAGATCATGAGAAACACAGGACAAGTTTCAAACATTCTTTGCTTGCAGCTGGCAAAGGGTATTGTCTAGAGAAAGGGCATTAGTAGCATGGGAGTATGCCCCAAATATTTTTCTTCTATTGGTCCTTCTGCTATATATTCCCTTGCCCTCCCCTCCCTAGTTGTAACTATCAAAAATGTCTCAAGATATTGCACAATATCCTCAGGGGTGCAAAAATGACCCTTTCCTGAAAACCAAGAATTTCATTTCTTCCCTCCAAGACACAGTCAACATGAACTATGTTGAACATCCAAATCCTGAATTCCTACCATATGTTTGTGTAATGTGGAGAATGACAATTGAAGGCTACAAGCTGAATCTGCCCCTTGAATTAAAAAACAAAAAACAAAAAAAAGTTATCAATATTTTAAAATCAGAATGTTTCATATTTTACAAGTCAGAATGTCTGTCTTCTGTAGAAACCCTGAAGGTATGGCATTATGAAGTCCACAGTCCTACATGGCAATAATTGATAGAGATGAATGGAAACATTCATAAAATTTAAATAAAATGTGTATCCTTATTAGGTGCGGTGGTGCATGCCTATAATCCCAGTGGCTCAGGAGGCTGAGACAGGAGGATTTTGAGTTCAAAGCCAGCCTCAGCAATGGTGAGGCGCTAAGCAACTCAGTGAGACTCTGTTTCTAAATAAAATACAAAATAGGGCTGGGGATGTGCTTGGTGGTTAAGTTCAATCCCCAGTACCGTTTTTTGTTTTTGTTTTGGTGCTGGGGATCGAATCCAGGGCCTTGTGCATGCAAGCCAAGCACTCTACCAACTGAGCTATATCCCCAGCCCTCAATTCCCAATAACTTAAAAAAAAAAAAAAAGTGTATCCTCTATTTTGCTACAGTTCCTACCACTCCCTATTCCCTCATAACCATCTGTTTCAGTCATTTAAACCAATATAGGCAATTTATTTTCAACTCCTGAAGTACTCTGTAGTTTGGGTTTTTTTTTTTTTTTTTTTTTTTGCTGTGCTCAGATTGAACCCAGGGCACATTCTAAGCAAATGCTTTACTGCTTTACCATTGAGCCAGCACCAGCACCACCTTATAGTTTATTTTTCCTTGTGATTTTTATTGAAGCCTCGATTCTTCAGTAATCTGAGGACAAATATCATTATAACTTCCATGTGAACAAAATGTAGTTTAGAGATTTGATTTGCTCAAGCAACAGAATCAGAACCTAGATTTCCTAACACCCCATCCTATTATTATTTGAAGGAAAAGTTCTATTAAGAACTTCACTTAGGGGGCTGGGGTTGTGTGGCTCTGTGGTGGTAGAGCACTTGCCTAGCATGTGTGAGGCACTGGGTTTGATTCTTAGCACCACATATAAATAAGTAAATAAAATAATAAAGATCAATTAAAAAAATATATATATACATACATACATACACATACTTCACTTAGGAGTTTTATGGAACCAAATCAGTAATGCAAGAATGGGCATGACTGTTAGAACTGATGAGTTCCAAGTGCTAAATTGTTCAAGAATCACTACAAACGACTAACCCTTTTTCTCTTAATGAAGTATTTCTGCCTCCCTTCTCCTTCCACACGTGATAAAAATGCCCTTCCTGCTTCCTTAAAGTTGACTGATATATGCCTTACTTTGGTCAATGAACTGTGAGTGAAGGTAACATATATCCCTTTAGGGACATGAATATTTCTTCATGCTTAATTCACATTTTGGAGGGAGTAACTCTACACCTCACAGGGACACCGTAGGGCTTCAAAATGGTGGGATTCTCCAGCTTGAGTATCCAAATAACTTACAGTGAGCAGAGATCTTTGTCAACCTACTTTGGACATGTTGTATGAGAAATAAACCTTTCTGGTTTTAAGCCAACGAAGTTTTAGCGTTGTTACCACAGCATCATCTAGTGTAACTTGGCACAAGGTTCATTTGCATGGTGTTTGAGTTTTTCTAAGAACTAGAAAGCAATATCTAGACTTTTGATAACATTATAAAAGCTGAAAGCCAGAGCAAATTGTTGAATACGGACGCCACCCCCCCCTCCTCAGTTTTCTCATCTACCACCACCTTCTGACGTTGAAAAGTTCTTTCCTTGGAGCCTTTCATACATGAACCCTCCTTTATTCTGTTAGTTAGATTGTGGGGAGGAAGAAGAGGCCCAGATCTTTTTTTCTCTATTCCAGAGCTGATCCCAGAACTGTCCCCACCCACTAATACTCACACTTAACTTTTCATAGGGCGACTATTACCACTCCCAAGGTGTCACAAACAGAAAGGAATTGTAGCTGGCGCCACTGCAATGTCAAGGCAAGACAGCCAGGCTGCGCTGTACCCTCACTGGTGCTTGGGCTTAGCTGAGCCCTGAGAAGCAGCATTCTCTAGGGAAAGAAGCCTTCTCAAGTGGGAACAAAAATGAGTGTGAGGAGAATACCCATCCTGGGCACTATGTGAATTTGGGGTGAGTTCTCTTAGTACTCCAGCTCTGATCAATTTCTAGTGCTAGCGGCTAAGCTGCCCGACTGGTGCTACGGGGACTCTCAGTTTTCTGGCTTTTCCCCAAGCCCACCCGAGCTTGTTATCTTTGTACACTTGCAAAGGTCATAAACGGTTGAGGGCTGAGTGCAAGCAGAGCTTCAGTAACCAGACTGCAGCCCGGGATCAAAGGTCCGCGGAGCTGCGCAGAGGCTGAGTGTGCGCAGTACCGCTCCCGCCTAGGAAAGGCTCTTTACATCCGCGTGCTAGCAATAGGCGGGAAAGTCGGGTCGCCGCGTCCTTCCCTCTGCCTGCCGGGTCCACCGGCCTGCCCAGCGAGCCTGTTATCCGCAGATGCCCAGGACGTGGGGGAGGGGGACGAGAAAGGCCCCGCGCTCCTGACTCATCATCTCCAACCCCCTTCTCGCGCGCGCTCCAAGTCTCAGGACTTTGGACCTGAGCACTCGTGCGAGGGGGCGCGGCGATAGCACCTGCGAACCCCCAGCTCTGCCAAGCGCCATTCCCAGCCGTCGACGGGCTCGGAAGCTGACAGAGGGAGGGGCGAGGGCCCAGAGTCCGCTCGCAGTTGCGTGGCTGCTGTGTGGCGCCCCGGCGCAGGACCGCCCGCCCGGCTCCTCCCCGCTAGCGGGCCCAGTGGTCGCGCCCGAGGAAACTCTCGGCTAGGCCTTGACTTGCAGCGCCTCGCGTCACTCGGCAGATGCACAGCGCCCCTGTCGCGGAGGGAAGGCTCTTTATTTCCCAGAAGGTCACGGGGTAGCGGGGCATCCTGGGACTTGTAGGCTCTGTTAGAGTGGACCAGACCAGAATCTAAGAAAGAAGCAGTGGGGAGAGGAAGGCAAGGATGGAAGGGAGGAAGCCCCTTTACAGGGAGGTGAAGTGAGATGGAGGACCCAGGTCCAGGTATATCTTCATCTAGTGGGGAAGGGACAAGAAAGAACTCCACTAGACCTCATGCTACCTTCTGAGTTTGCTGGGGTGGCATGCAGGGCAATCTGGAGGGTGCTCCCTCAGGAGAGAAGGGCTGTAGATCCTGTCTGCCTCCCCCTGCTCTCGCAGTTCACTCATTTCGGTTTCCTGTGCTGGCCACCATAGTACCATTTTCCAAACCAGGAACCTCTTCGACCTCAGAGAGGCCCTGAAAAGCAGATAAAAGTGTAAGTGAATTGTAGGGATGAGAAAGGAGATAGCCCAGATGGAAGCAACTTCCTCCTCCTCCATTTTTTTTTTCTCATAGTTCTTCCAATAAATCTGGGTAGCTTCCTATTGCTTGTCTATTCTAGTTCCAGTCATTTGGATACCCAATTCCCTCTTACCCACCATTAGGGGAAAAGATGTCCCAAGCTAGAAAGCCAATCAGTTTCAATCCAGGATCCCTCATTTCCCTTCTGTCCCACTGCTCCCCTTAAATGCAACTGACCAAGATTGCCAACGGAAAAATTAGGAGGCAGCTAGCTGCTCCATGCTTTCCTTCCTGCCCCCAATACCTCTTGCAGTTCCTGGTAGTGCAGATTCTGGCTCCTGAAGCATCCTGGCTTCCTTTGGCTCAGCAAGAATAGGGCATATGTGGAGGACAGCACACCCCCTAGGGTGAAGACCTCAGCGCTGAGCTCCAGCACCAGCAAGCCCACCAGCTGCAGGTAGACAGGGCTGAGGATGTTGTGGGGACCCAACACCTGTTTTTCCCTGCCCTTTCCATCTCTTGCTTCCTCCTCCTCCCACCTCTTCGTTCACCAGTACCTGGGAGGAAGCTGTCGGAGAAGGCCCCAAAGCTGTCTTCATCACCTCGACCACCACCGCAATGAAGCCCAAGATCAGGTTGAAGGTGTTGAATATCATCATGGCCCGTACCTGCCAGTGAACCAGTTCAGCACTGCCCAGCCTAGGGGACTCATTCCAACATCAATCCCCACCTGAAGCCTAGCTGAAAACAAAGCTCAGCTCTTGTTTCTTCTCCAAATGGGACAGGACCATCAGCCCTCTAACTTTCTTGCTTTCTCTCCATAGTCTTTTAGGCCAGCCAGGGACAGACAACAGAGAGGATTAGTCAACATTTAATCACTTACTTCCTGAGTTGAGGGGTGTGTGTGTGTGTTTTGGGGGTGGGAGGACAGTACTGCATGCCCTTCCCACTCACCTTCCAGAGGCGGGGTGCTCTGCGAAGCTCAAGGGTGACAGTCCCAGTTAGGAGACCCTGAATGGTAATAAGCACAAATTTAAACTCTGTTCCCATTAGGGAGGTGTCCCCAGAACCTTCCTTCTACCCTCCCTGTGACAGGTCTTACTGAGACTCCAGACCCAAGTGGCAGTGCTGTGGCCATGTGACAAGCAGAGTTCAGGCAGGCGACTGAGACAGCAAAGGGTACCACAGCTATTGCCAGCCATATCTGGGTCACCTGGAGACCAGAGCAGGGTATTTTAGTAGGGAACTGTCAAGGATTCTTTTCCCTCCTGGAAAACCTTGCCTCTTCTAAAGATCCATAATTGGGATAAATACATGGCAGAAGGAAAGTAGTCAACCAAGGGCAGCAAAGGAAGTAAGATTTAAAAATTAAGTGCCATTTAATTTGTTCTGCCTCATGTTACAGTTTACTTACCTCTGTTTTCCCCATCGGACAGAAGCTACATGGAGATTAAGGTTCTTGCTTTTTATTTTTTAAATTTTTTGGTCTGTTTCTTCCACCCTCCTCCCACTAAGAGCCTAGCACAATTTCTGGCACATGGTAGGCGCTCACTGAACATGGATGGAACTGAATTGGATACAAGTGGACATGCTGAGACCTGGGTGGGACAGCCTGGCCTCACCGCCAGCACCAAAAGCTGTCCATTTTGCTTGTGCCTTGCCCAGTGCTGTAGCTTTTCCAGACGAAGGCTGGGTCTCTCCTGCTCTTGCAGATTGGCTCCATCCTCCATCATTCCCTTGACCACAAGAGCTGGGTGCTTCCTAGGTTGGAAAAATTCATTATGGGCTTGTCTTTCAGGAGATAGGACATGCTATATCTCTCCCAGTTACCCCTCTACCCACTACCAAAATTAAGGGAATTAAGGCCCAGGACCTTACACCTACCTAGTTTGAAGCAGCTACTCCAAAGGGATGGGACTCAGATGGGTCCTGGGACTCTTTGGGGGCCTAGTATTTCAGAGCAGATGAAAAACTTGTCCTGTCTGAGAAAGGCTGACACAGCTGGGCTGTGGTTGGGCAAAGGTCCCAGTAAGGGCCTAAGGATCTAGGGAGTGGCCCTGGGTAGACACCAACCTTAGTTCACAAGATACTCAGCCCTATCTCATTTTGTTACTATTTCTATTGCTCCCATTTCTGCCCATCTGGTTTCCTCTTTTGGATTCATTCACTCACCACATCCCTTTGGATACTTTCAATCCTGGATCTCAATTTCCCTATATTCCATCATCTTTTTTTCTTTCTTTGGTTTCTTCATCAAATAACTTACTCTGCCCTAGTAAGATTCCATATTACTCTTTGGACTGCTTATTACCACTTACAGCTTTGTCCCTAACCCAGGTTAAGTTTTATTTCTCCTAACTTTCCTGTCTCTCTCTTTTCTCTTTGTAATTTCTTGAAAGTTTTACTCTGAATTGGACGCTAAGTGGATGGAGAGCACTGTTTTTAGTAGGGGATTGGTTTTGACTCAGTGATAAGCTGCACTTAGACATATGTAGATGTTCCCCAAGTCTCGTGTACCTTTCTTGGGAAAGGTACTATTAAAACAATATTTCTGAAAGAATAGGTACCTTGAAGCCTGGGCTAGACTCAGTTCTGCAAGTTTACCAGCTGTGTGACCTTGGACATATTCTTGTGACATTATTTTACCTATTTCAACCTCAGTTTGTTCACTGATAAAAGGAAGGTAACAACGAGACCGTGCTGTGAAAGGTTGTTGATTCAGGGTGAATGGTTAATAACCATTAACGATGCTGATGAGGTCATACTGATGTGCCTGAGGACTTACTAAAGAACCTAAGATGGGGATATTTATTTGTACAGCAGAAAAAGCTGGGCCTGAATATATACAACTCAAAGATAGGAAAGGCCCATCTTGGCACACAGCCTGAGGTCTGGAGAGAACCAGTCCCAGATCCACCTGGATGACCTTGAACAAGTTGCTTAATCTGTTTCCTTATCTATAAAGGGAAGTTAATACCAATTTCAAGGGGTTGCCTTGAGCATTAGAAGAGAAAATGCATATTAGCTAGCTTAACCCAACACCTAACACATATGTATTCATAATCCTTAGTAGCTATTATCATTATTATTGATGATAGGAGAAACTGAGCCAGAAGAACCCTGGCAGGTAGTTCCTTGGACAGGATCCTGGGAAGCACATGGCCTTCTTTATAAGCCATTCCTGCCCTACTCAGTGCTGGGCCAATATCCTTGGAACACTGTATCTATTTTTCTTTCTTGGGAAGTGGGAATCACATTTTAAAGGAATCTAGAGAACTGTTGTCTATTTCTACCTCTTCAATCCCCGTATGAATTAATTTTATTTAATGGTGATGTGAGATGTTGGGCTTGCAATGAGGATCTTTAAACTTGCAGGCCAGTGGGGAAAGAAACTCCTTGAGCCTCATTTTTCTTACCTGCAAATGAGAACTAATTATATTTGAACGTTATTGTTAAGGATTCTATACTATTAAATACGTGAACAGGCATTCTGTAAATATTGACCAAATCTGAATATACTACTTGCAAGTTTGTAGCCATCGCCCAGACTACAGTCTCCTCAAGGAAACATATCGCATCCCCCTCATCTGGGCATCCCCCACAGCTCTGAGCACAGTGCCGGGTACTTGGTAAGCACTCAGTAAATATTTGTTGTTTTGAAGAGCCATTTAAGTGTCTTAAAGAATGGAAAATAGAATTCGAGAGAGAAGAACGAGAATTGTTTATCAAGAACAGAAAGGACGGAAGAGTAACTTTAATAATGTTTCTTATACGGCAGACATTAACTATCTCTATAATCGCCCCTCCTCCTCCCCAAAAAGAGACAGAAATTGTAAGGGAGAGGCTTTGAGATAAAACCCCAGGAAGAACTTCTCCGAGTCTGTGCATGTTGGGGCAGAAACAGCGGCAGAGCCAACTCCTTCCCTGGTATGTCCGGGTCTAGGGTGGGAGGGGCAGTCCTGCTAGGAGGCTGGGGGAAGGACGAGATGACCTTTCAAAATCTCTTCCAGTCTCCTGTTGGAATCGTCTGTGCGCCCCACCCCCGCTCCCTCCTCTCTCCCTCCCTCCGACAGCGCCCCCCGTCTCCAAACTGCCCGCACCCCGCCCCTGGCGGCCGCCTCTCGCGGCTCCCGGGGTCCCCAGCTCCCTGTCCCCAGAGCCGTAGCCGCGCTCCCGCGCGGTTCCCAACCCCGCCGCGCCGCCCCCCGCATGCTAATGGCCGGGCCGCCTCCCGCCGCACACAATGCGGGCCAGGGCCGGGGGCGGGGGGACCGGGGAGGGGGCGGGGGCCGGGCCGGGGGCGGGGGGGCCGGGGCCCGGCGCATCTCCCCCGGCCCCACGTAACGCTGACGCCCGCGCCGCCGGCCCGCCGCCCGCCGCCGCCACCGCCGCCGCCCGCCCGCTCCGCCGCCCGCCCGGGGCTCGTGAGTAGCAGCTCCCCCCACTCCCGGCCCCCCCCGTCCGCCACCCGCCCCCGCCCCCGGCCCCCTCCCCCCATCCCGGAGGGGGGGGCCGCTCCGCGCGCCCGGCTCGGAGCAGGTGCAGGGGGCGGGGGCGGGGGAGGGGCGCCGGCTCGGCCCCAAGCAAACTTCGCCCAGAGCTCCTGGGGGGGCGGGGTGGGGGTGGCGGCCTGGGAAGCCTGAAGAGCTGGGGGGGGCCCACGGGAGGGGGGCCAGGTGGGGGAGCCGGGGGAGCGGACACCAAAGGGGAAGGGCCAACGGGGGTGGGGTGGGGGTGGGGGCGGGGGTGGCGAGCGTCTTTGTAGGGGCCCGAAGGCAGGGCGCGAGGGGCCTGGGGGTGCGGGGCGGTGTGGCCGTGAGCCTGAGTGGATGCGCGCCCCCCGGCCCAGGTAGGGCCCGTGGGGGAGGGGGCAAGGAAGCCAAACTCTCCGGAGTGGGGACGGTGGGGGGAGGGGAGAGGATGGGGGGTGCTTCCCTCTCTGCGTCCCAAACAAAGTGTCACAAAGAGCTCGGCCCGCGGCAGCGGCGGAGGCGGCTGTAACTCAGCTTTTGTTCTCCCGGCCGGGGGTAGCAGAGCCCTGGCCTCCCTATCTCCCACCCTGCCCCCTATCATCCTTCTTGCTTATCTTCCCAGGGAGGGGTCTGGGGTGCTGCTGGAAGAACCTCTTGTGCAGGATCACAGGTCCTACCTTACTTGCTGACCTATTTCTGGGAGGGGTATTTTCCCAGAAGCTCTCCTGCCCACCTCCCTCTTTCCCCCACCTCCCAGTCTGAGGACTGAGGCTCATTTGGGCGGTTAGACTGACTTTTCTAGGGTCAGCTCCAGTTAAGTAGACTTAGGGATGGCTACATGCCTCCTTTCCCCAAATCCAGATCTTTCAGAACTTTGAAAATCGGGGTCAAGTTAGGACATGATTCTGGGATAAAATTCACCATGGTGGGGTGGCAGCAGGTGTATCTTCTCACCTCCTACTGTGCATTTGGAGTCCTTAACTGAGGTTGCTTGCCCCTAATTCAGGACAGTGGGACCCAGGGAATGCTGTCTTCACCAAGAACTCAACCTGAAAGGTGGCAAACTCTCTGGAGGGAGAGTTTGGAGGAGCCGAGTTGTGAAGTTAATATGGAGAGGAGACCACAAAAGTGATCTATTGGCATGTCTCTGTAATTGAGGTGGTCTTCATTCTGGACCACTTAAGAAGCTCCTTTTCCTAAAAACCCATTTAGTGCAGTGGTTATCATAATTGTTAGCTGACTTCAGAGGTATAGGATTCTCAGCAGAGGGAAAACCATCAAGTATTAGAAATGACCAGAGACAGAGGCCTACTTACAGCTAGACCCCAGAGATCCTGAACCCTTGCTCCATACACTTTGATCCTAAAATCTTTGAACCACTAGGCTTGGGGACAACCTTCTTAGTCCTCCATTTGGCAGATGCTTCTGTGTATCTGTCTTTGATGTTTATAAATCTTTTTATTAACCATCCATCTTTACTTAGTAAGGTTTAAGGTTTGATGTTCCATAAACTGCCTATACCAGCTGTCCTAGCATGTAAGAGTAATTGGCCTGTTGCTTTGGAAATATTTCTGATCCCTAACCCTGGCTCTGCATCCCTATAGAATCCAAATAAGGGCAAGATAACCCCTGATTCTCAGTGGGGGTGAAAAGTAGGTCACTGCTACTCTCTGACCAAGTCTGGCCAAGTATCATGGATGGTGTTTAAGCCTGAATATAGGAAAATCTATGATTATTGTCCACAGTTAATACATGTATGACTTAAGTTACAAGCCACTTCATAAAACCTGTCAGTGCTCTCCTTTATTGATTATGACCATGAGATCAGATGTCTGGGCCTGATTGGAATGAATATGATTGAGGGGATCTTGATGGGGTCTAGGAGGTCTCAGTGAATTTTGTTGATTTTAGGCCTCTTTTGGAGAAACTCTTCTGCTGGGGAATTTAGCTTCAGTTTGGATCTTCTTATATCACTCTATTTCCATTCTGAAAACTGCTGTGTGCAGTGTGTGTGTGTGTGTGTGTGTGTGTTTTTCTTTTGGGAGGAAGTTTTGCCTTGTTCTGTTTTATTTTATTTTATTTTTGCATTGGATATGAGTCCAGCTTCTCAGGAGATGTTTTGCTTGCAGTTTTAGGGGCCCTAGAATCTTCTCAAAATCAGAATATGTGCCCATAGGTTAGTCAGCTATGACCATGCAGTATTCCCAGCCTCCACCCCCCCTCCCTCCTGGCCATCTGCTTCCTCTGAATATACCAGATTGGCTGTACACCAGGATGTTCCGGGAATCCCCAGGAGAGCAACAGAATGTGAGGGACCCAAATACGATGCCTCAGTAACTCATTCCAGGATGTACAAACTGTAACTGTCAGGACACTCCTTATAGCTAATTAAAAATTTTCTAGTTACATCTATTTTCTAATACCTCTATTTTCAGTGACATCCAAAAGGCCAAAATAATCCTCTGGTACCACTCTCCCCTGACCCTCTGTGGTTCCCAGATAGGGGGAGAAAATCCTCCAGCTTTTCTCAGTGCTTTATCTGTGATGCTAAAATGGCAAACATGGCCTCTCTAGGACTTCATAGTTCTATCTATGGTACTGAGGTGGCCAAAGTGGCTTCTCTGGTAGCCCACTGCACTCTCCATGGTACTGAAGGAATGACCATTTGTTTCAACATCTCGGGTCTAGAAGAGTCCTGTTATTTAGACCCACAGAACTTTTAAGCTGGAAGGCAACATCAGTAAAAATTAGTCCAACCTACTTACATTACAAAGGATAAATGATTCACTGAAGGTTGGGTTTAATAATGGTAAAACTAGGTTTACAATAGCCTTGTACCCCTTAATCCTATTCTGACTCACCTTCTGTGAAATTATTCAGTGAACCTGGCTAGGCTCTTGGCCCCAGGAAAGGGGTTTGTTTGGAGGATCCAGAGGAGGAAGGTGTACTCCCAAATTTGGAGCTATAGAAGAACACATTAAATGGTGAAAGACGACATCTAATGGACCTTGGACAAGGATATTTTTGTTAATTAATTTCCTGTTAATATTCCCAGAGCCCTGATTCTGCATGTAACAGGTACTTGCCCCATACTGAAGTCTTACCACATCCACTAAACCTTGAAAATTAAGGAAGCTCTGGACCTCCAGAGCCTTTTCTCTGCTGATAAGCAGGGCTGACTCCTGGCCCAGTTCTCTTCTATTAAAGATCTGTAAGCAAGGTAATGCCGAGTTCTTTTCTTTCTTAGTAACATAAAGCTTATTGTAAGAAAGTTCTTTATATCTCAAATATTCTTCCTATCTTAGGCGGAGGGGAGGAAAAAAAGAAAAAGGTTAGGCCCACATTCATCTGGCCTTGACCAGAAACAATTCTGTATGGAGGCAGGAAGGCAGAGTGGATGCCTTCTGGTTATCTTCCCAGCCCTGTTTCCATGAATTTTAATTCTGAGGTTACTTCTGAGTCCTAAAGCTGACCTCTTCTGCAGCTTAGAACCAGGACCCCCCCACCCCCATCCTCTTCTTCTCAGTGCTCTTCTTCCCGGCCCTGGAGCTCTGCACATCTCAGGCCTAGGGAATTTTAGCTGGAGAATTTTAACCCTTTCCTGTTAAGAGCCTGTGCGGGAGCCCCTATCTGTGCAGATGGCCCGGCCCCGCCCCCCGTCCCTCACTCCAGCCTCTTGAGCTCAGAGCCAGTGTAATCCTCCTCTTGTGTGAGGAAGCCTCTCCCCTGCAGAGAGGAGGAAAGCCTGCTTCGGAACAGCCTGGACAAAGGGGCTGAGATGCCCCATCAAACCGCAGGCTCCAAGGTTTGAAACAGGGGATGAATCTTAGACGGTATTTGCAGTTTTTAACCCCTTCCCCAGACTGGCAGTGCCCCTTAACTTCCACTCCTCCCCCAACTCTCTCCATTCCCTCTGTGACTCTCTCCCCCTTCATGCCCCTCCCCCCCTGTCTGTCTCCAGACTCTGCTGCTGGGAGGTGTTTCTCTCCCATGCATGAATGAGTCTCTGTAATGAATGGAAATGAATGGATCAGGAATCCAGGCGGAGGGAGGGAGAGTGAGGGGGAAAGACGGAAAGACAGGGTAAAGGCAGAAGCAAGGACCATGGAACCTGGAAGGATGTTTGGCTGCCTGGTCAGTTAGGGTCTGATTGTGATTGACTGACCCCACTTGGATAACCGGGGAACATGGCAAGCCCTCTCCATTCATTTATCAAGCTGCACATACTGTGATGTTCCCTCCCTCCCCACTGCCAGGATGTGAGGTGGTGGTGGTAGTGGTTCTGGGAGCATTTAAAACATAATTTTTGGGAAAAAAATTGGGTTATCAGAGAGCCTTTTGGATTTGGCAAATTAAGGGGTGGAGTCTTTGAGGAAAGCAGCCCCCTTGTGACTCAAGATGCAAATAGGAAGGGAAAGGTTTAAGGACTATAGGGTGTTAAAGAGTCTGGGATTGGGGGTGATACTTTCCATTGCTGAAAATCAGGACTCATCTTTCCTCCAAATCTTTCTTCCTTTAGCTCCTCAGCACCTGTTGCCTTCATTAGCA